GATAGAAGCATTCCTGTCAAACAGACAACAAATGGTCAAAATCGGGAGCGTCCTATCAAATCCAGTACCTGTCAATAGTGGTGTCCCCCAAGGCAGTGTTCTAGGACCAACTCTCTTCATACTCTACATAAACGACCTCTGTGATCATATTAAGAGCAATTGCGTTCTCTTCGCTGATGATGTAAAGCTGTTCAATACCACAGACAATACTGCTACCCTACAAAAAGATCTTGACTATGTATCAGAGTGGTCAAACAAATGGCAACTTCAAATCTCAACAAATAAATGCTCTGTCTTACATATTGGCAAAAAAAATCAGAAAATAAAATACAAGCTGAATAGTCAAGATCTTGTTGATGACTCAAGCTCTGTAAAGGACCTTGGAATACTCACCTCTAATGATCTAAGTGCTAGAGCCCACTGCAACTACATAGCCAAAAAGGCATTAAGAGTTGTTAACCTAATCCTACGTAGCTTTTTCTCTGGTAATATCACACTACTAACTAGAGCATACAAAACATTTGCTAGACCAATACTCGAATACAGCTCATCAGTCTGGAACCCACATTACGTATCTGATATTAGCACAATTGAGAAAGTCCAGAAATATTTCACAAGAAGAGTTCTCCACTCCTCTACTCGTTGTAGAATACCTTATGCCACCAGACTTGAAATTGTAGAACTAGAAAACCTTGAATTATGCCATCTTCAGTCTGATCTAAGTATGGTATATAAAATCATACATTGCAATGACATACCTGTCAATGAATACTTCAGCTTCAACCATAACAACACAAGAGCACACAATAGATACAAACTCAAGGTTAACCGCACCAAACTTGATTGCAGGAAATACGACTTCAGCAATAGAGTGGTCAATGTCTGGAATACTCTACCTGACTCTGTGGTTTCTTCCCCAAACCCCAAAAACTTTAACCTTAGACTGTCTACTATTGACCTCACCCCTTTCCTAAGAGGTCTGTAGGGGGCGTGCATAAGCGCACCAACGTGCCTACCATCCCTGTCCTATTGTTTCTCTTATTCTTCTTTTATTTTTCTTATATGTACCCATTTCATGTATTCACAACTATGTATACACTTATACTTATTATCTTGTAAACAATTGGCAAATCAAATAAATAAATAAATAAATAAATAAAATAATAAGATGCCTACCTATTTTTAAATGAATGCAGACTCATCAATTCTACTGCTAAACACACATGGAGAACTATTTCTACCACAACAGAGACTAATGTCTAATATTGACATCTTGCAGCTAAACCTGAATTTTTTTAAAAAAAAACAGAAGCTAATACTGAAGTTTAGCTCTGTTTCTTTATATTGTAAATATAAGAAAGCAGGGTGTGTGTATTTGGGGACAGGGGAAGCAGAGTAATTCTTGTGCAAAAATGATTTTAAAGGTTTTCATTGTCAGTTTAAGTTGTTGTTTTTAACCATTTAGTTATATCTGACTCTTGGTGATTTTATAGGCAAGTGGCCCCTAGGCTACCCTATCAAGCACAGCTTCTTTTAATTGTTGAATGTTCAACTTTGCATCAAATTTGATGTTATCAAGCCAGTGTGCTTGCTTGCTTCTTCTTTGTCCACTAACCATTCTTAGCATCACTGCGTTATCCAGTGCATGCACAACATGGCCAAAGTAAATTAGATATAGTTTTATGATTATAGCTTCCAGTGATGTGTTTGGTTTTATACAATTTAACACTTCTGTTAGTTACTCTGGCTGTCCATAATATACACAGTAATTTATGCCAGCACTGCAGTTCAAAGGTCAGTTTAAGTAGTAACGGGCTTATCATTGCATTTAATGGTTCTTGGATTATACAGGTGAAACTCAAAAAATTAGAATATCGTGCAAAAGTTCATTCATTTCAGTAATGCAACTTAAAAGGTGAAACTAATATATGAGATAGACTCATTACATGCAAAACAAGATAGTTCAAGCCGTGATTTGTCATAATTGTGATGATTAGGGCTTACAGCTCATGAAAACCCCAAATCCACAATCTCAGAAAATTAGAATATTACATGCAATCAATAAAACAAGGATTGTACATAGAACAATATCAGACCTCTGAAAAGTATAAGCATGCATATGTACTCAGTACTTGGTTTGGGGCCCTTTTGCAGCAATTACTGTCTCAATGCGGCATGGCATGGAAGCTTGTGCACCTTTTTCTTCCACACTTTTCCATTCCACATAACTTTCTATTAATGTGCTTTGATACAGCACTTTGGGAACATCCAACTTCGTTTGCAATTACCTTTTGAGGCTTTCCCTCCTTATGGAGGGTGTCAATGATGATTTTCTGCACAACTGTCAAGTCAGCAGTCTTTTCCATGATTATGAATCCTACTGAACCAGACTGAGAGACCATTTAAAGGCTCAGGAACCCTTTGCAGGTGTTATGGCTTAATTAGCTGATTAGAGTGGGACACTTTGAGCCTAGAATATTGAACCTTTTCACAATATTCTAATTTTCTGAGATTGTGGATTTGAGGTTTTATGAGCTGTAAGCCATAATCATCTCAATTATGACACATCACAGCTTGAACTATCTTGCTTTGCATGTAATGAGTCTATCTCATATATTAGTTTCATCTTTTAAGTTGCATTACTGGAATAAATGAACTTTTGCACGATATTCTAATTTTTTGAGTTTCACCTGTAATTTTATAACCCTTGACCTACTTAGACTCTCAGGATGGGTGCAAGATATTAATCTGGTAATAAATTTGAATTTACCTTTTTTTTTTTTTTTCAAAATTAAATTTTCAGAATTGAAGTCACCACTATTGAGATGTATACTTCTTGATATACCACAGCCTTAGTAAACAATGTCAATAGGATTTATTTGTCATTTACTAGGGCTGGACAAATTTTATATATGTGTGTGTGTGTGTGTCTGTCTGTCTGTCTGTCTGTCTGTCTGTCTATCTGTCTATCTATCTATCTATCTATCTATCTATCTATCTATCTATCTATCTATCTATATTCTTAAGTTTTCGCAGGTACTTACATGTATGGCATTCAGCTTTGTTCGGGTATTTTCCCACGTCATAGTAGTTGTGCTTTTAAAGTTGTAGCGACGTTTCGGCAGAATCTCATCTGCCATCATCAAGCTTCTGTATAGTGTTCATCTGTGAGTCAGGCTTTTACAGTGGTTTCAGATTTGAATTTGGGGCAGCCTATTGCTGTTCCAGAATGGTTTTTTCTTCATCCTGATTGGTTGAGAGTCTTGATCTGTGTTTATTGGTCTTGGAGTTTGCTGTGTTCTGCTTGATTGGTGTTTCTAATATCTTCTGTCTGTTTTTTTGGCTCTTTTTGTATCTTGATTGGTTGGCAACATTGTGTTTCTTTATTGGAGGCCTTTAGTGCAGCTTGGCTCTGGGTAAATGGACGGCTATCATTAGTTAGGAAGCTAGGTTTCATCTGGGTGCCTGGTTGGGGTGTGTTTGAGCTGGAGGTATCAGGGGGGATCTGTTTGTGCCCAGGTGTTTGCCTGGCTTGTGGTGTGGAGATTTTTTTGTTTGTGAGTTCAGGCTTCCAAATGATTGACAGTCTGGTGGAATCATCTCTTCTGTTCATGCTTTCTGGTCTTTTTTCAATCTCTATGGCTTCTCTGATGATTCTGTGGCTGGGGTTTTCTATAGTGGCTAGGGTTTTGGTGCCATTGAAGTTGATGCTATGACCTGTGGCTTCCATGTGTTGGACTAGTGAGGAAGTGTGTTCCAGCTTTTTGATTGCATTTTTGTGTTCATCCAGGCGGGTACTTATTCTTCTATTGGTCTGTCCAATATCCAGAAGATATTAGAAACACCAATCAAGCAGAACACAGCAAACTCCAAGACCAATAAACACAGACCAAGACTCTCAACCAATCAGGATGAAGAAAAAACCATTCTGGCACAGCAATAGGCTGCCCCAAATTCAAATCTGAAACCACTGTAAAAGCCTGACTCACAGATGAACACTATACAGAAGCCTGATGATGGCAGATGAGATTCTGCCGAAATGTCGCTATAACTTTAAAAGCACAACTACTATGACGTGGGAAAATACCCGAACAAAGCTGAATGCCATACATGTAAGTACCCGCGATGGTTTGTTTTCACACTTATTTAAGCAAGATCTGCATGCTAGTCAATGTGCAATAATTGTTCCAGGATCTGCCCTTTTTCTGGCTTCCTGGACTTTATTAAATCCTACAGGATGCAATCATAAGGGAATCGCCTTTCCATTGTATTTTTCCTGTAATTGTGCTGCTGTCATTTTTCTGCCCTTGGAAAATGGCTGGAGAATTTCTTAATTACTTAAGCATTTCTTAATTACTTCTTTCTCAGTAATGACCCCAAATTTTCTCAAAGAATGTCAAAAAGGCACTTTTGTCTTAATTTTTATTGCTGTATCATCTCAGGTGTCCCTCGGCATTATAAGAAGGAACAGCTACCAGATGTTCAACCTTCATTAGCTTTTATTACTGAGTCTGCAAACATTTTACCAGAGGTCCATCAATCTAGGACACTTATTTCTATGCTCATTGTGTGTTTTTGTTCATTTTTGATTCCTGAGAATGTGTCCAATTATCATAAGTGGTCATAAAATAGTTCTAGGGATCAAAAAACGAAATCATTATCCCTTATGTGCCGTGCACATTGGCTGAATCAGAGAGAGATAGTCTGGACCGTAACACTGAAGAATCATATGGGACCTGATTTACAAGAGGAGCTCCCAAACCTTGGAATAAGGTCATGAAGCCTTTGAAATAAGGGATAAAAGGGGGAGAGGGAAAAATTGCAGGGATTCAAAGAAAGCTGTAAATGATAGAAAAGAAAATACAAAAAAAGAGAAAGCACCAAAAGTCACATGTGTGGACAGCTACATAAATTGAAATGATGAACAGAAAAATGAACTCTCCCAGAGAGAGGAGAGATAAACCAATTGCTCAAATGACAATAAAAACAGTTTTTAATTCGTTCTGGTCATGTGTATTTTATTAGCAGAGAAATAGACATACTAGGGATATCAAGGGAGGGTAAAGATGTGTCTTAGAAGCTAGAAAGTAAGCAAAACATTTTTTATTGCTTCCTTTCAGAAATAAATGGGTGAAGATGAGGGACAGGCAATTAATCTAATCTCAAATCCTGTAGGTGCAAGGTAACTCCATCCTGTAGTTATTGTTCTGAAAGTTAAAAAAAAAAAGTTAGAGTTTCCACACAAAGGAAAATGAGCAAGTTAAAAATATGAGCTGAATGTTAGAAGATAGCTTTGTTTTAAGAAACACTGATATTAAAGTATTTTTTAGTCTAATCTTGAGTTAAAGATTGCCAAAGCAGTTTATAGGTTAATGAAGACAAGGTAATAATTGCTTTCTAGTTTGCAAAATTACAATATAAAAAGGAAAAAGAATGGAGAGGGAGAAGGAGAAAAGGCAAGTGTTTAATATTTCAATATACTTATGTTAAACTGCTGAGATATAATGGGCGACTCAGATAATTTTTTTCTTAATTTCTAACATAACATCTGTTATGTTTGTGAACTGAACTTGATAATTTTGTATGCAAATGATATATATGTGTATGTGTGTGTGTGTGTGTATTAATGTCCTTACTTTGCCAGCAAGTTTTCTTTATATTACAGATTTTTAACCAAATAATATGAGAAGAGTATCAACAAATATATTTAGTTGACAAAGTACTTGGGAAATGTGAAAAATTGAGATTACCAAATTTAATATTTATTAGAAAATGCAAAATTAGGCACCTCATATTCTGCACTGAAATGTAAACAATATCTTAATCCTAATTCAGAAGTTCTTGTTTGGTTTCAAGTCTGATTGTTCTTCCTGCTTTAAACTCTCCTTCAGGATGTACTTGATTTTTGTCTGCTTCTTGTAACTCTCAGTAGAAGTTATTAATTTTGGGAGAGTGAATAACTCAATGCTGGAGTAAAGGCCCACCATTGTTCATCTCAGGGGAGCATCTTCTCATTGCTAATGCTATAAGTTCAAGTAATTTAAGCATATTTAATATTTTAATAGCTTAGGACGTTCACTGCATACTTAAAATAGTGAACCTCATTATGAATGAGGCAAATGCTTCTAACTGCTGTAGTGATTTAGGAGACAAAATAGATGCCTCAATTTCTGCAAGACTTAGAGCTTCCATGTTGCCACCTTAACATCCAAATCTTTCCCAAATGAAGAGGGAGAATGAGAGACAGAAGAAACTGAAAAAGTCAACCTTTGCCAGTTCAGTGATGTCATGACATCGAACATGGCTTCTACAAAGGGGCTTTTTCAAGAGGCACCTGGACTTTCTGGTTTTTCTTTGAAGATGTTTTGCTTCTTGGATGAGACGCAAAACATATTAAAAGAAAAACCAGAAAGTCCAGTTGCCTCTAACAAACATGACCTGGATGACTGAGAATCTCCATAGATATATGGCTTTTACAAGAGGTAAGAAGGACATTGGGCTCTTTATTGAAAAAGTACCATAGCCCTGCTCTACAGGATGCGAGGAACTACATGCTTCTGTAGAATACTGTCTGTTAGTACACTTAGCCTACTGCCATCTTAATGTCCCCATAAATCTGATTGGCTGAGAGTAATGGAATGATCAGGCTAACATCTGGAGGGGGTTGCATTGAAGCCAACTGAAGAATTCCAAGAAAAGGCAAAAGCAGGGTAGTAAAAAAAAAGTACCTATGCTAGTCATGGACCAGTCATGTTTTATAATAAGGTATATGCTAATCAAAGCAACTCTGCCTTCATGCAACTGATTGGGTGTAGTTATGTGCACTAACTAAGCTATCTGCAAAAGCAGCCACTAACATGCTGCTTATTTGTATATGGGGATTTTGCAAGTTCTTATAGGTAAAAACCCTCTCTCTGATGATAATTTTCTTAAAGGGAATCTTGATTTCCTCTATCCCATTACATTAATTGGAACCACACTTAGATACTTACCTTCACAGGGCCCCAAGCTTTTTTAGCATGACAGAAAGTTCTCCACTATCGTTTAGAGCATCGAGATCTGTAAAACCACCAATACATGTTTCCCCAATAAAAATTCGGGGAACCTAGAAGGCAAACAAAATGTATTACTCAGCAGACAAAATCTCTTTAGACTTCTGTCTTGTCATAAAACAAACTTTGAATATTGCTGTTAGAGTAACAAATGACAAGGTAAGGAAAAGGAACAGGCTAGAAGCTACATCATTAGCTATGCGTAAATGTCATGCCAATAAGACAAATCCTGGAGATTTCATTGTTATTTAAATATGTTAGGGCTGTCCACTGCAAGGACACTCCATGCTTTTGGTAGGCATTGATTTTGGGACTCTGCTCTAGTTAACTGGTGTCAGTACTTTTTTTACTTTTATGGCATTCTATTTTGTAACATAAATTGTTGATTTTAAATTAACTTGTGTTCCTATAAATATATGGGTTCCCCACAATAAATGCAAAACAGAATAAAGTTCAGAATTACCATAATTTGCCAAAGATGCTTCCATTGTGCAAGGCTTGCACAGAAGGATGGTGGATCCATTTTCATTCACACTGCTTCTATGCCTTTTAGATGCAGTAATTTATTAAGTGAAACTAGCTTCTTTCACTCTACAGTGCCTCCTTCTTGGGACAAGCAAAGGGAAGAGATACTTCAACCATTAAGTGAGAGAGTAAAAAAGTAAAAAACTACATTTATGGAATGTAGTTCAAGATCCACCGGATGTAAATGCTTGGGATCCAGAAAATGAGGATGATGCCAAGAAGCTTGCTGACTTTAAACAGAACAACAAACGAGCTCTTTGTATAATTGGACTAACACTGAGTGACCAGCAGCTAGTCCATATTCATGGAGAAGAGTCTGCTGCTAGATGTTGGGAGAATTTGAAGAGGATTTATGTTCATGACAGTGTAGATGCACACATACATCTTACACGTAAACTGTTTAGAGCACGTCTTCTGAAAGGTGGAGATGTGTTAGCTCATTTGAACTTCATGAAAATAACTTTTCAAGAGCTACATGAAAAGGAACTGATATTTTCAGAGCTGCATCAAGTTTACATCATTCTTTCCTCATTGGATGAAACTTATGATGATTATGTATCTTCACTGGAAGTACTGCCCAGAGATAAACTGACATTGACTGACATAACTGCAAGATTGCTAGAAGAAGCAAGAAGACGGCTGGATAGGGACCAAATGAGGAAGGAACAACCACAAGAAGAGAATTTATCTTCAACTGCCTATACTGTTAGGAAATGTTTTTCTTGTGGGGCTAGGGGACATATAGCTAAATTCTGTAAGAAGGGAAAACAACAGAATACTGGTAATAACCAGAAGGCCAAGAAGAATGTTAGTTTAGCTATGTCTAGCAATTCAACTGTAAACTATGATTTGTGGGTTGTTGATAGTGGAGCATCACAATGCATTACTAAAGATAGAAAAAGGTTTGTAAAGATGTCCATGAGTAAGCAACATGTATCATTGGCAAATGGATGGAAGATTAAAGCATCTGGTCAAGGTACTGCATATTGTTCTTGTATAAACGAACATTTAACTATGTTATATGTACCTAAACTGAAATTTAATTTATTATCAGTAAGGGCTTTAGTTAATCTTGGTTATGTAGTAACCTTTAGGGGAGATAACTGTATAATAGAGAAAGAGGATAAAAGTGTTACTGCTACATTAAAGAATGATTTATATGTGATACATGATGACCAGTTGAAGATGGCTAACTCAGTTTATAACAATGTTAAGTCACATGATGAATGTATACATTTACTGCATAGACGTCTGGAGCACATTAATTTCAAAATGCTCAAACAAACTGTTGAATTGTCAGAGGGAGTAAAATTGAAACCCTGCAGCAAGTATTTAAACTGTAATGCTTGTAGCCAAGATAAAAGTAAGGTTACTCCTGCAAACAGACTTAATGGGTTTAAGACCAAAGAACCTTTAGAAGTTTTTTTTACTGACATAATTGGTCCTAAAAAACCAAGTTTAGGAGGTGTCTGCTATATTTTGAGTATTATGGATCATTACTCACGATACGGTTTCTGCTATCTTATGAAAAACAAAACAGAAACATTTCAACATTTCTTTAACTGGCTAAGGTTTGCTGAGAGAAAAATGAAAAGTAAAGTAATTACTTTAGTTACTGATAATGGGACTGAGTTTGTTAACAAAAGATTCCAAACTATGTTGAAATTGGCTGGTGTTGAGCATAAACGTTCTGCACCTTACAGGCCACAACATAACTCATTTTTAGAACGAAGAGGGCAAACATTACAAGCCATGGCTCGCACTATATTATCTGATTCAGGTTTACCTGAAACACTCTGGGGTGAAGCCATAATGTGTAGTAATCATGTTTTAAACAATGTAGTTAACACAACAACTGGAGAATTGCCATTCATTCATTGGCATGACAGAAAGCCAAATTTAAGTTACCTACACACATTTGGAGCTCCAGCATGGGTGCATATTCCCTCACAAGTAAGACTGAAAGGGCAACATAGAGCTAAGAAGTTATTTGTTGTGGGTTATGAGGCCAACCATAGATCATTTAGATTTTGGGATCAAGGCACAGCTCATGTTTATTGTAGTGCTAGTGCAAAATTTCTTGAGCACGTTGGGTGGGATAAACTGGAACAGGAATCCAGCAATGATATTATTATTGACACCCAAATAGTCCCTAAAGATAAAATCAGTAAACCCCAAATAGCCATTAAAGAGGAAGAACAGGAGGAAGTAGTAGAACAGGCACAGGAGGAGGTAGAAGAACAGGAGGAGGTGGCACAGGAAAGTCCACTAGTAAGCCCTGTATTACCAAGACGTTCAACCCGAGTAACACGACCACCTGATAGATATCAGGCTAGTGTTGTATGCCAAGTGAATACAGTTCCAAGTAATTATAATGAACTGAAACTGTATCCTGGTAAGGATCAGGCTGCTTGGCAGGAAGCAATGGATAAGGAACTGAAATCATTAAAAAAATTGGAGGTATATGAAAATGTTAGGTTACCATCAGGTAAACATGCCGTAGGATGTAAATGGATTTATAAACTGAAGACAGGTGTGGATGGGACTGTTACCCATAAAGCCAGGTTAGTAGCACAAGGGTTCGATCAGACAGCAAATGACTATGATGAGATGTTTGCATCTAGTCTGAAGGCTACTACATTAAGGGCAGCATTAGTGTGGGCAGCTAAAGAGAAATACATTATTAATCATTTGGATGTAGAGACAGCATATCTGCATGCACTGTTGCAACACAGTATATATTTAAAGAAACCTTTAGGTATCAAAAATGATAATACTGATAATAATGATTGCTGGAGATTGAAAAAGAGTCTTTATGGTTTAAAGCAATCAGGATATGAGTGGAACCAATGTATAGTTAAAGAATGAACTAAAATAGGTTTTGTAGCTGGCATGGCTGATCCATGTTTGTTTAAAAGAGAAAGTAATGGTGTAATTTCATTGTTGCTATTTTTTACTGATGACATAGCATTAATCACCAAAACTGAACAAGAAGCTACTAAAATAATCTCACTGTTAGAACAAAAATTTAAGATAAATCCGTTAGGAGAAATCAAACAATATCTTGGTTTAAAGATAGATAAAACTAGGGAAGGATATACAATCTCACAGGCAGATAAAATTAACCAATTACTACAGAATTTTAAAATGGAACTTTGTAAACTGGCTAAAACACCAATGAGCCAGGAGTTTAACCATAGTGATGTTCAAAGTCCTATTTTTGATAAGAACATTGAACAGTCCTTGATTGGTGCCGTGTTTCTCCAACAATACGGCCTCCACCAATAGGAAGGCCCAGCATGATTTCTAGGCATGAGGTGAAATTAAGCCCCGCCCCAAAATTTAGGCCTATTTAAACCATGCTTTTCCCCACCATTTCTCACATCATTCGTTAGAACTACATGAGGTGAAGAGAAATGGGCGGGGGAAGGGCGGGGGGATGGGGAGAAAACTTGCCTTTAGGAGTGCCCTGCAGGTAGCCTAGGCTAGAATACCCCGATAGTCGATAGAAGCTCCCTGAAGGCAGAGTCCCCAGCCTCTTCAGGGTGTGGCGTGGCTACCTGTGTCCCCTCGCCTTTAGGGCAGTCTCTTTCGGGTGATGGCAGCTCCCCAAATGCAGTCACCAGCCACTTCAATCAGCTGGTAGAAGCGGCCTCGGGGCGAGCGCACACACACACACTCCACTCGCCGCGAGGCTGCTTCTTTCGGCAGACGAAAGCTCCCTTGAAGGCAGAGTCCCCAGCCACTTCGGGGTGAGGTGGGGCTGCCCGTGTCCC